TCAAGCTATTGATAAGAGGTGATGTATATGTAAAACTTATCAGTATTTGATAACCTGTGGCGGTGGCGGCGGCGGCAGTTTCCGAGCTACTGTACCGTAATGTACATGTGAAATGTGAAACGTTGTGGTGACCTCTGACAGTAGTGATAAGGACACAAGATGACAATCAAACATCTCTGCCGATCCGCAAGGATAAGAGCACGTAGGTAAGTGCCGGCGAAAATGTCGTCAAAGGATTTCACGTCAAGGAGATTATGTCAATCGTAGTGTTTAGATACGTAAGTCTATTTGTAGAATGAGACAATTGTATAGATTTATGGGTACCAAGGCGTTTATCTTAAATGTTTTTAATGTATCAAGCTGAACTAGCATAGATCTCATTTAAATATGGCTTTAATAAAAAAACTAAATTCAAACTGATAAATTATTTTAAAATTTAAGACAGCTCTTAATTAATAAGTAAAGAATGCACTATTCCATCCAAACAAGATTAGTTACATTAAAAATTAGTTGTAATAAACTTAATAAAACTTTCAAAGTAAAACAATTGTTATTATAAATGATGAGAGATATATTCAATGCAAAGTTAGTTTTCCTTGCCCAGCTGACATAGTTCCTTAAATAACATCATAACTATGATACCTTAAACCCACGCTTAGTTGAAAATCTTCCCACGAATACACATTTACAAGTTTAAACATGATTTGATTGGCAATTTTATCAAAAGCAAATAAATAAAAGCTTAATTTGTTCAATCAACAAAATTAAATGTCTTAATGCTTAAATATTCTGTAGTTGATCCTTTAAATTGGACACTTAGAACAGGGTAGAACAAGAATAGTGCAAATCGTACTTGGTGTAGGCCTATATTAAATTTGGAAAAATATATATTTGCTATTCAATCTTATGTATGGTATATGTGTATTGATTTAAGATCTAGATTCTGTCACAGAAAACCTGATCACTTAGCGAGTTTACAATTGTAACTTATCTTGTATCCACTCAGGTTCATAACAAGAGCAATGTTCACTTTAATCAACACCCAGTGACTACATACGTTATTGATTACTGCAATAAACTCACAAAAGGTTGTTTTAGTTAAATACAAAAGAGCCTTAACTTGAATTAAAAACGTCAAGTATTACTGTCGTAAATGAACGAGTGATCAACATCAAACTTTCGTCACTTAGCTTAGATTAAATAAAATTATTAGTATATCATAACATTTGTGTATACTTACAGATACCTTCGCCAACAGAACTATTGATAAAAAACGTCAATTTACAGAGATCGCATTTTTGCAACGGGTAAAATATACAAGATATTTTTGGCTATTTTCATTATCAATGAAAAAGTCATGTTCCTGCATTAGTTTCTTAAATTAAATTAAATATCTCGCCAATAATAAACAATATAGAAAAACCTGTAATCTAAGATAGACTTTTAAAAACTCATCAGGGAATAGCACATGGTGCTTTCAGGTTATCGCGATTTTATTGCGCAAACCCCATGAAGTTGTTGACGTAGTTCCATGGTCACTTTTTATAGTCCTTTACTGCAATTCCCTTAAGGGATTAAGTGATTACCTCAAATAGCTGTCAATAACTTAAAAGCGCGAATGGTCTGGAGAAACGATACGGTAACTTAGGTTTTAAGATGTAGAAAAACACAGTAGTTTGCTCAATGGTAAATACATAATTTAAATTACGCGAACTGTTCTACTGCATACATGGACACCAACATTTACACATTGGAATCATAGCTTCATCAATCTTACGTATCGACTGTTCGTTCTGACCTATTTATCCAGAGAACATATCGTTTACGGGTTTATTCTGTTATTTAATCAACTTCAAAATTATTTTAACTGAATACTGCCACCTATTTGTAAGGTCCTGGCCCTAGTATTATAGCTAAAGAGTAGAACACAAATATTAAAATCTACCCTTAAACAAAGGAATATTAAATTGGCTTTACAGGGTTTAAATTTAACAATATAATGAATAAGATGAGAAGTCTATTTGCAAGACTCCAAAGTAAATGTTATTTATACTGTCCGAAAGGATGCACGCTAGTCCATAAGCAACTATAAGCAGGATTTATAGAAATTGTGAAGGTAAATTGCTCGGCAAATAATATTTTTGAACAAAAAATGGGAAAATTAGAAAACAGAGAACGTTATTTTTTGGGCTTCAACGCCGATGCATGTCAACCTACTATCTCTTGTGGAGAAGAATATCTTTACTGTTAAATCAAAGAGCAAATTTTCAGCTGTGGTTTAGTTATCAAAAAATTAAGTCAAAAGACTTTTCTAGCTTAGTGGTCAAATTAACTTCATTTCTGGTGTGTTGCCTTCCATATTACTTAACAATTACTAATCTAGAGGTTAAATACGTTATTGCCAACGTAATCCTTGGTAGTCTTTACCAATGCTGGGGTGATGGGAATTAGGCAGGGAGAACGGGGAGATTCCATTCTGTCCTAATGTCGCACCCTCAGAAAATGCTACATGACTGTAGCATTCAGGCTGGCCCAGGTCAGATTCAGTCCTGTTGTCGCTTTACCCGGCTACCGGTTTCGACACACTTGGTGTCATTGTCAAGCCTAGCGTGGTTGTCGCTCCTAGGAGGTCGTCAGAAAGTCTTTAAACACATAAACGAGACGAATAAAATAAAGAAAACGAACACAAACAAACATTTTTACGAATGAATTATGTGTTTTGAAGACTTTCTGACGACCTCATAGGAGCACAACGACGCCTAGGTTTGACAATGACACCATAAGTGAGTCGAAACCGGTAGTCATTAAGACTACAAAGACTACAAAGGATTACGTTGGCAAGAAGGTGTTTATAACCTCTAGATTAGGTAAACTTAACTTCAAAATTTGGGAATTTTGCATTTTCATGATGGAGTAATAGTAAAATGAAATTTAAGACAATTATAATCAGTTTATAGCTTTCTTACAATTTTTGTTTTTGGAGTATGTAGAAGTTGTATATTTCTAAACGTAGGCTAAATTTCTCGAGACATATTAGCTGCTTGCGGGTGAGTGAAAGAATTTGGATGTTGATTCAAACATTTTAATATTATTTAGTCAAAGCTTGTAGTTTTTAGTTAGTACATTCATACTAAGCTATACGCTATATATTTATGACGTTTATTTGTTTCGGATTAAAAAATATAAACATTGCACGATTTTCAATGAAGAGTGCGTGTAGTGAATTAATTTGTCCCTTTAGCCAGGAATGTGAATAACAAGCCCAATAATCAAGGACAGCTGGGCCAAGTTTAGAACCATCAAAGAGCCTCTGACTTTTTCTAGGATCGAACCCGTAACTTTTCGACTATAGGGCACGCACGATAACCACTCAGCTAGAGCTACCACTGGACTAATCTCCCCCTTGGCCGGAGCCTGCAATGAACAAACCACTACTCCACGAGTTGCCTCTGCACAGGAATATCGCCAAGAGGACAGTTACTTGTAAATGACTCTATAAGTCGGGTCTCCAACCTTTCAACCAGATTAATTTACAAATTGATATAAGTATGCCGAAAAGCGCACAAGTGGCAATGCGACATTTAGGGTTGGGTTTACGTTACCAGGAAATAAACACTTGGAGATGGGTAGAGGTGAGTAAAAAAAAATGGGTAGAGCATGCAATAAAATAGCTCCTCACAAGCTATGGCAGCTGAAACGAAACTCTAGGTTAGATAAGTTACTGAAAAGTGATGTGAATAATTATGTAGAAAATAAAACATCGAAGAGCATTTAAAGACAGTTTCATATACAGTACCTATATAAACTTGGTTAGACCTTCTGTCAAGAAGAAATACAAGAAAAGAATGTAAATAGAAAAAGAATATAATATTAACGAAGCCTAAGTATATTGCTAAGTTAAATGAATAGTTAACATTGATGAACCTGTACTCTACTGAATTTAAACATTCTGATAAAACATATTCCGTATTCAAACACATTGCCAGTGCAAATGCTGGGTGTGTGATTGGAACTACGAACTAATTAGTTCAACTTTTATTTTTGTCTACGTGACATTCATTATTTCTAAGAAGATATAGACTGGCTGGATTCCTTTTGAAACTACATTTGGGGTTTCTGTGGGCTTTCTTCACAGTATGCTATTTTCACGACACCCTCGCTACAGAACTAGCGACTCGCTCCCAGGTTTACATGCTTCTTAAAGATTCACTGACAAGTAGATTGTCAAATTGTCCCTTGTAATCGGGGTTTGAGGCACGATACTAGTCTCAGTGGGGTTTCCAGTCTCCAATCTACTGTGTCTGTTTATCATCATAAAACTTCTGTCGTCTATATTTTAAGAACGGTTGAACAAAGCTAAAAATGTATATCAAGAGAAATGTTCCAAAATTACCTTATAAACCTAATAGGCTTAACAATTTTAGATTTTGTCCAATTCACTAGTTTAAAAAGTTTCAGTTGAAAACATTACTAAAAGTGTATTGTATTGAACGTTTTTATACAGTCGCAAAAGTAACCTCACAGTAATTTGTTCAATACTTAGTCGACTATCTAGGTTTCATATACTTATGCGAATATTAGTTTTCTAAAAATGTATGTTTAGTTATTATAAGGGTGTAATGCCCACCTAATAATCAAAAGGTCGCTGGGTTGATCCTGAGGCCAGCTTGCTTAGACCATTGGATTTGAATATATCATCGGAACAGCTGTTTAACTAAAGAAACAGCTGTTCTTGGTCAGTAACAAAGCTACACAAGGCATCCCACTCTATACTACTCTTCATCAATATTTGGGTTCCAGTTGCGTTCCTACCTTCATTTGTAATAGTGATAATAAAAGGGTATCTTAGGCAAGATATTTACTTCATATTGTTGTTTCAACAATGGTTGTAGTTTGGACATTCGCCACTCCGCGCCACCGTCTACACTGAACTCTGTGACAGTTCAGCGTGCAGCACAAACCCTCCAACTCAACCCTCTTACACTAGTGTTTGTCCAACTCTCGTAGGGTGTACGCCGCATTGAACCTTTAATTGAATCCCTAAACCTTTTCGTAATGAAAGTCTCTAATACGTAACTTACATTAGATTTGTGCATTTAGAAACTACTATCAGAGTGAATCATATGGCCCGAAACCTGTTAGAAGTTTTCACAGATTGAGGTATTTATTTGATATTTCTTTGCTTGGAATTTGAACTTAAGATATTGAGTTTATTGTAATATTGAAATAAACTAAAACTTTTATGATACATTGCAAGCAATTTACTACTGGTCTATTTCCTAAGACAAATTGTGACGAATTCATATTGATTTAAGTCGGGTTTTAAGAACATAATTCTTTAAAAATACGTTTAGTTATTGCCCAGTTTAATATTTTAATAACAATCATTTTTTTAAATAAATACAATACAATTAACAAGGTCAATTAGTTTATGTTTAATATAAGGAATCTAATTTTGACCTTTTTGCTTGGAAAATTATTTATGCAAAGTTCAAGACTCAAGACAAGACATCGTAAATACAACAATTAGCTACAATGTAACAAATTAAACAATATAAGTTCTATAAACTTATCGTTACAATCCTGCTCCTTGTTTACACTGAAAGATGTAGTAGGCAGGTTCATATAAAGTTTATGGTTAAAAATCTTAGTCAGTAAAACTTAAACTTCTAATAGAGTCATATCACTTAGACTTTTGAAACAGTAAACTTAAATCATATAGCTTGACCTAACAAGCGGGAAGTAAAAACAGATAAATAAAATAAATACTCCAGTCACTGTCATGTCAAACTGTTGATACGTGTGGGTCTGGGCGATTCCTGTAATAATAAAACATGATTGATCTAACATAGATCTGTCTATAAATTGTTCTTACAAATGTATACAGGACCAACAAGTTTCTTCGTATACACCTTAAACAGTATCATTAAGATGATTAAATGTTTCGTTGCAGCAAACCTGCAGCCTAACCAAATCCTTAAACCACTTAATTTTACGTTTATAGTATTAGTGGGCATATAATCCGCCCACTGCCATAACTCCTTTAAATTTGGAAGGAACTGTCTTGGAAGGAATATAACTAACAAAATTAATATTATATAATAATATGTACAAAATAAAATTTAAATAGAAAATATGTTAAATAAATCTTAATTATATATTGGTATTTGATTCTTCAATATACTATATTAAATGTTTTCTTTCTTTATTTCCCTAGTTTTATTTTGCCGTATATTGGTTGGTTTAGTTTCGGAAGTACTATATTTAGTATCTTCGTCGAGTCATTTTTATAATGTGGATACATAGTTAACTCTTCTTCTACATACATTTCCGAAACATTTCATCAAAATAAAATAATTATATTAAAAACAGGGTACTTTGTTAATTATGTTTGTTATTTGTATTATTATTTTAATAGTGTTATGATTTAGGCTCAAAACTATATAATAGGTACATACACATTTGTCTGAAAATGTTTATTTGATATAAATAATCTAAGCATAAGTCTGAACGTATTTATCAAGATTCAAACAGTTGGCCCTAAACGTCACTGCAGGAACCTCTTTATGCCTCTTTGTTTCTCAAGTATGACAATCCTTAGAGGAGAGGTTCGTCGAGTAATAATCCCTGAAACTTGACACTGACAAACGCCAAACTCCAACATATTAAAATGTTAAATATATTTAAACATTTAATATAAAATATTCAATATTAAAACCGATGTATATGAAACTGTTGCGTGTATTTGAGAGCAGATCCGACATGTTAGCTATTTTAGAACTGTTATGTCTAGTTTGGGAAATCGTGTGAAATGTGGTGTGGGAGTGAAAGATTAGCACATTTTTTATACATATTCTAAGAGAAATTTAAACCTTAGTTTATTATGTGATTAAGTTGATAAAGTGGTTAAAAAGATTTTTGCAAGTTCTTGGTACACACTATTCATATTATTTCCCAAACTGCATGACTTCATTGTATTATCGCCACATCTGATGCTCTTCATTCTTCATTATATTCTTCATTGTGAGCTGTGTTATATTATAATAGCCCTACAGATTGGAAAACACACACAGTAAATAGTGTTATCAAAGTCAATGTGCACGGACAAATAAGATTAAACGCGTTTATAAATATGATTCCTAGTTTTCGGGTCAAATGAAGAATTCTATATTATAAAAACTAAAAAGCTTTTTACTTGCAAAGGTTTACATGCGTTACTATGGTTGTTTACTGGTGCAGGAATGACCATATAACTTTGTAAGGTGAATTTGGTATAACTGTGTGTGTTTTATACATGTCAACGGAATAGGCCTATCAACAACAAACTCAAAACGCGACATTTTCCGGATATTTTTACAGTATAAATAGTTTCTGTTCGTTTTACTGCAAATTTAATGAATTAAGCTGTAAATCTAAATCACTTAAACTAAACGTGTAAGTGATAAACAAGAAGTTCCAGAAATATTTTTAATAAATATATAACTTCACAAATTATTGCTTGTTCAAATTTTGTTCTGATTCTGTCGTGATTTAGATTTAGTAAAATTTGTTACACAGCTTTATTTTGGATTATTGCCAGCTCTACTACTTATCACGGACCTTTTGTTGCTTATTATCTAAGAAGTTCAGTCTCGACAGTATAGCTTAGGTGCTTAGTAGCTCCAAGAAGGAAAAGTATTTTGACCTTACCTGTACATATCAAATTTACTCAAATCCTTCCTTGTGCCAGTATTTGGATGCAGACATCAAAGGAAACCAGTTTGTTTATTATTTGTATGTATATTATCAATTAGTTTTATATTTTGTAACGGAATATGGAAAATGTTAGTTCAAACTCGATACCTTGGAGTTCGACACACCAAACTATTTTCTCTTGTTTTAACGAATTTCTTCATTTGGGAAGAAGCTATAACAGTTTTTTTTCTTTTTATTAGAAGTGATAGATTCGGGGGAGCTAGGTGGTCTAATGTTTGAACAGGGGCTTCGGTTTTTGAAGGCCCGAGTTCAAATCCCTCCAGTCACAGATTATTCTATGTGATGATGCCGCGACCCTCTAGGCCTAGCCTGGAGTATAACGGAAATAGGTTCAGGACTTTAACTAGTCTTTGGATGTGAATGTAGGACATAGAAAAATCTTATCCGAGACCACTCTTTTACTTTCGTTTAGTTTAATTAAAAGCCAAAGACTATGCCTTGCATTTGTTATACTTATATAATGCCCCCAACTCAGATAGTCAATCAAGGCTACGATTTTAGAATCATTGGACACAATATTCTATAGTTAGAGATACACAGTTTATAGGTTAAATTAAATGCAGCGCAAACAAGATGAAATCATGAATGTTAAACGATTGGATTCATGGAAAGATGAAACGCAAAAAGTGATGGCACAAAGGGGTTTTCAGTCGGGCTTCCTTACGTAACCTCACAACCCTACAAGATCGTTTATCTTTTATATGCAGCATTTGCTATTTTTAAACTTTTTTTAAATGATAGATAGATAGATAGATAGATAGATTTATTTGATCATCAAACATTATACATAAAATGCAATAGATCATGTCAATAAATAGTAAACAAGGTAATCAGAGAGATACATGCAATCAAGCTACACCAATTAAGGTTTACATGCACAAAAAATAGGTACCTATAAGATAAATTATAAATAATACAGACAGGCTTACTAAATAATATATGCACTAGTAATTAAGTACATATAAAAAAGTCAAATCACAGTGGGCGACATACTTGAATAAATAATACACTAGGCAAGCAGCTAGAAATGAAAGTTGTACAAGTTAGAAATTCACACAAGATAAAATCACAATATAAAATCACAGATAAAAAAATCAATGTGGTTAAAAAACTAGGCTAATATCACAGGCAAAGAATTCTTCAATACTGTAGAAGGGTGTGACTGAAAGCCATCTTACTTACTTACTTACTTACTGAAATGGGCTTACTTACTATTCAGGTGTGGTGAAAAATGTGATTTGCTTCACTTTTCTAGCGATTTAATAATTTAAATAACTGCTATCCTTTGTTGGTATCTTTTATTAAACAATATTCCTCCGGAGATAATAGTGGGAGTTAGTTTACAAACTCAGTAGTTTTAATATATTGAACCAATTTAGTCACAAGTAACAGATTGCTGTTAACATTTGTACAAACTATTTAATGAAAATTAAGTGTTTACAAAACATTATTTTTCTCGTCTTTTTCAAACAAGATTTATTTCTCAGCAAGAGGTAAATTATTGCCATTGCACCTCTAAAGCTATGAGAAGGGTCTATTTTGATCTCTAAAAAACTCATGAACTTTTTCGAAATGAAAAAAGTAGTTTCTAGCTAGCATTTTTTATAAAGTTCACATCTATCCCCAATTGCCTTAGTATTTATTTTCAACCTCTTGTCCTGCAAACAGAATAATCTAGGACAACAAGACAGAGCCAACTAGATAAATCTAGTTGCTCGTATAGTTTTAAAAAACTCAAAAAAACTTTAAATGAACCTTTAGTTTAGATAATGCCATAATACCGCTTTTACCCATTTCAGAATTTAGAGCATGCTCCCATTGAAGTTTCCTTCTCATTTATATTTTTATGTAGTAATATGTTTATGAATAAAATTATAATTGTTACGTCAGTCCATTTAATCCAAAAACAGATAAATCCCACGAAACGGACTAGTTTACTTTTAACCGAGAAATAAAACTAGAACTTTGTAAGCTCAATTAAAAAAAACTTGCAATCGCTTTCTATCTAAGTGTGAACGCCAACCATCCTATACAATAAACATGTATAAGCGTTACAATTTTAAAGCAACTTTGAAATCATAATTTAAGGAGTTTTATTCGTCATTCAATAAAAACTTCTTTTACATCACTCCGTAAAGAAAGGAACTATTTTCGATTACAGCTAAAATCGAAGAAAACAATTTTTTCCCGGGCTCTAATTTAGAGCAAGGGAAGACCGATCACCTGATTTTCTCTTGCTATACATTTTCATTCCCTTGCTAATCAGTTGTGGTTGTCCATTCGCTCACTTACTTTTACCAAAATACGTGATCGTAGTCGTAATATCTTTAAGTGTTGCCAACTTATTTTCAAGCGTACACGGATTACGTGCATATTAAAAGCACGCTGTTTCGTGCTGTTTGGTTGGAATACTGGTGTGCTCCAAAGTAAAAACGTTGTGCCTAAGTAAGGCTTTTTGTACTATAATATGTGCAAGGAAGCCCACTTTGTCGGGTGACTGTAGGAAAAATATATTTTCGCCATAATATGCGTACAAACTTTCAGAAATTTGACATGGCCTTATGGAATGCCATTCCCCCATTACGGATGACAAATTATTATTTTATTTTATGAATCACGAACGTAAACATGATTGTAACATATGTGTATACAGACCACAAGGGAAGAACAATCAGAATCATACCATTGTGCATATTATACCAGAAAATTAGTAACAAATTAGGTCAATGTGTCGAGTAATGAAATTAATGAGATAATAAAACGAAACACTCCTAACTTAAACTCATACCTGTTTTTAGATTTATTAGGTAGCACATTTAAGATAATTTATTTCTACTTGACTATAGTGACATCTTGAATTTCACAAAATTCCCTATTGTAATGCACCCACTAATAAAGGTTATAATTAATTATTGAATGTTAAAAAGTTATAAGGCTGGCAAAAATTTAGGCATAAGCTTATGTGGCGGAGTGAAATTTAGGAGAAGATAAAACGATATCGTCTGCAAATAACACTACAAGCATTTTTTTTACGACGAAATCACAACGAGCTTGATTTACAGGTTAGTTAAAAAAATAAATTACCGGTATACCTATGTATCGTTTTTTTGTGGTACATAACATAATATGTCTTCTATGGTAGACGACCTTAATTCTGGACATTTGAATCAGCTGACTGACATGCCAGAAGTTTATGTCTAACATTAAAATCGCTGTGTACATATTGACTACAACGAGAACGAACAACTGATTAGGCCTGTTTGTGCATGGAAAATATAAAGGGGCGTCCACCGAAAACACTTAAAATTAGTTTTGGAAAAACAATGACAACGCCCATTATATAAAGGTTACTTGGTTGAAAAAATATATGCTTTGACAATTAGGTAAACATAAGGTTGTCTATCAAAGTTATTCCAATTTCTAATTTGGTGTTAATTATACACTGATTCCGATATTTCTTCATGTTTACTTCTTACTTTGAGTGTAAGTATTCGCGTATACGTTTTTGATGCCAAAGATAAAACTTTAAGTGGTCAATAATACGTCTCTTATCTTAAACGTCCAAACGTATCATGAAAATATAGGCCTGGGCATATTTAATTTTATAAATTGATTATTTGTCCGAATAAAAAAAATCTCATTAAACTGATATTAGAAAAATAGCTAAGTTATTTTAGCTAAGTAGGGTGTGTTGGCTACAAAAATACCAACACAATGTATACAGTACATAAGAGTCATAACTGCTGCTTACATTAACAATTCATCTACGACTATCATTTGACTGATTATAAATATACTGCAATAAACACGAGGATAAATCACATTTACCAAAGAATGCTCTGAGAGTATACTAATGATTTTTCCTGAGCAAAGTTTAGTCCCCAGATACTAATATTAAACATGCCATAAGACCCGTTCGGAAGTTATTCTCAAAGAAAAGGTAAAGCCTTATTCTAGTTGTAAAGGATTAGTCGTACTATAAAGTTCAGGGCTGCTTTAATAAATGGACCTACTAGAGTTTATAGGTTTGTTGTTGGCACAAGGAAGAGAAACATTACCCCACAAGGTAGGGGGAGAGGGTCACAATCATCTCTACATAGCGCTGCACATGCGAACCGCGGGCTTGCTTGACCGCATGCACCTACAGAGCCGCAGAGGGCCTAGTCTGCAGGCTGTAGGGTTGCTGCCGCGAGAATATTATTTACTGAATGTTTCATCGACATTAGCCACATGAGTTACCATGCTGGTAACAAATAACCACGACACAAATGTAAAAAGCTGCGTACCAAACAAGTTAACAGATTTTAAATAAAATATTAAAGGTAGTTTGGATGGATGCCATTGAGCCAAGTGATGTTTAATTGCGCAAGTTGTTCTAAGAATTCAAGAAGCCCTAACTTATTGGTTGGTCTGCGCAGGTGGTTAAGTTGAGGGTAGTGTCAAATTGTTCAATTTACAAATCGTATTGTTCCGTAAAAATGTAAAAATAACAGTTTTTGGACTAAAATATTTTAATAAATACACGAAATTTCAAAAGTAAGATTGGAATTGCTGAAGGACCCAAATCTAAAAGGGTTGTGAGTTATCATGTTCAAATTTCTTTAGTTAATTTGATATATTTTAAGTTATTGTCGAGGATATTCCTTAAAACCTTTGTAAAACCTATGGGTAACCGCCATTGGTGTAAAAGCCGGTATCGAGGTAGGGTTGATTTTGATTTTTGAGCTCTTCCCAACTTACTTCCGCTAAATTGTCATGCAAATCAATGCATATTAAATGAAGTTCCTTACTATTTTACCCTCACATCTTGAACTATAACCCGTTTAAAAGGTTGTATTGCTATTCGTTTATGCTAATAATATCCATTCATATGCTATAAAATTGCGTATCTATATTATTACGGTTGGTAAAATGTATGTGGTTCTAATTTAAACCTAACCTATATATATATATATATATATATATATATATATATATAGCATGAAGAGTCTAACACTACAAACATTATACAAATATATGATATCTTATAATTCACTCACCAAATAGGCCGAACAACCCAGACAACTGCCCAAATCCCGTTGAATTTAATTGAACGCTCACATATAAAGCAAGCTGTCCCAATTAATAACACAAATCAATTCATTAAACATAATAAGCGGCCTTACGGCTTTGTTTCTATGTGTATTTACAATGTTTAATATACAAATTTTTTTCAAACAATCATCATCGATTACAGATTATATGCAACCTTTTTCCACTTAAAGCTATGAAATTACTAAGAGTCTAGGAAATCATGTTTTACTATATAATAAGGAGTTTACCTAACTTCAATAGGTTTTCCATTATTTGTACGCAAATAATCAAGTCTAAATTCCAGTTAAGACCAAACAAGACCCAAAATAAGATTTATTATTTATTTCAGCAAAAGCTCTCCTGATTCTTTCTTTGAACTTTGTTATTTGTGTTCACTTTACTGGCATAGAAGTGAAGCCCCACACAATAATATCTGGTGACATACGGGGCCAAGATGTTGGCCAACAATCCGATGGTTTGGGAATGACGTATCCAGAAAATCTCAAACAAAGTCTCTCCAGTGCGGAGGAGCACCGTCCTGTTGAAATAGGACATTCGGTTGTAATTGTTCTAGTTGGGAAATTGAAAAGTAAACGTTTCCATAGACAGTATTTTTTTTTAAGGGCCAATGGGGATCGTGAATCCCCAAATATTTAACTACCACAAATTTTATGACTAGAATGGGGTAAGTTAGATTCGCCTTTGCTACCTGCATTAATCCCTTTGGAACCCTTAGGGTGAGTGGTAAGATTCCGTGTCCCTAGGGGCCGAGCCTCCCCAGCACCGAGTCTCCCCAGGGCCGAGTCTCCCCAGTGCTGAGTCTCCCCAGTGTCGAGTCTCCCCAGGGTCGAGTCTCCCCAGTGCCGAGTCTCCCCAGGGCCGAGTCTCCCCAGGGCCGAGTCTCCCCAGGGTCGAGTCTCCCCAGTGCCGAGTCTCCCCAGGGCCGAGTCTCCCCAGTGCCGAGTCTCCCCAGGGCCGAGTCTCCCCAGTGCTGAGTCTCCCCAGTGTCGAGTCTCCCCAGGGTCGAGTCTCCCCAGTGCCGAGTCTCCCCAGTGCCGAGTCTCCCCAGGGCCGAGTCTCCCCAGTGCCGAGTCTCCCCAGTGCCGAGTCTCCCCAGTGCCGAGTCTCCCCAGTGCCGAGTCTCCCCAGGGCCGAGTCTCCCCAGCGCCGAGACCCCCCAGTGCCGAGTCTCCCCAGTGCCGAGTCTCCCCAGTGCCGAGTCTCCCCAGGGCCGAGTCTCCCCAGCGCCGAGACCCCCCAGTGCCGAGTCTCCCCAGTGCCGAGTCTCCCCAGTGCCGAGTCTCCCCAGCGCCGAGTCTCCCTATCGCCACGTCTCCCCAGCGCCATGTCTCCCCAGCGCCACGTCTCCCCAGCGCCGAGCGCGCTATCACGCATAATCTGACAGTTTTTACAGCCGAATTGGGATTCACAAAAGCAAAGAACCACGGTAAAGGCGTGTGCCCAATTGAGCATTGTAGGTGATCAGGACTGGAATTACGTTAGTTTTACAAACATATAATTGTAATATTCAAATAAGCGGTCTTCTGGCTTTATAAAGGAGCCAGAACAAACTAACAAATAAATATATTCATGATTCTCTTAGACATAAAATTAGACGGGCGGAAAAACTTGTAAACTCAAAACATCTACAGAACTCCTAACCTAACCAAACACATGTTCTAGATATTCTTAAAACTGGAAATACTAAACAATATTCGTGTTTGCTTACATTGAATTGGTTACAGGATGGTGGATAAGCTGCACGAGTACCAGGGATGTCTGGGAAGGTTGCACACCCTCAGGGACCAATGCAAAGTCCGGTGGCAAGAACACAAGGACAGCGGGGAAAGTATCGGGGACAGGATACGAGGGTATCTGCGCGGAGACGCCACAAGAGCACAACAACAACATGCAGACTACTCGCACATATACAGGTCAGCTGTGTATATGATAGCCTTCAATCAATTGGTGCTTGTTAGAGCAGTATTCAACCAAAATGTCCCCCATAAGAAAAACTCTCACTTGTTAGCTTTGTACTCATTAGAGCACTATTCTCCCGAAACTCCCTTTACCAAGGGATACTTCACTATGGACCTCAAAATAAAATAAAGACAGTTAAGACAAATTCAAGTTGGTAGAAAGTCAAAGAAAATTCTGAAAAAAATTAGATCAATGTTGTACACATTTTGTCAAGAATGTATCTACTATCCGCAATTTCATACAAACACATACATGTTACTACTTATTACTTTTATCAAAACAGTGAGCTGTAGTTTTGGATACTAGAAAGCCTCGGCATTTAGTACCCAAGCTATACATTTTAAATCAATTTTTTATACCGAACACCGAAGAAAGATGCATATTTTGTTGTGGTGTTTCCGGACCAATAATTTATTGACAAATGTTAAAATACCTGATTGTCGCTTTGTGGTACAAAGTATTGTCCTGGTGGATTATGGACATTACAAAAACGTAAAAAAAGTAAACACTATGATAATTAAGGCGGTGACACACTATCGATCTTTTCCCCGATCAAGACCCCGAACCGAGCAGGGAGAAGGGAGAAGGGAGATAAATATCAGCAAAATTTTACTCCGAACATTTCCCCGAACATGACCAAGACCAGACGAATTCTACCGAGCGCGGCAAAAGGAAGTTTGGAGAGAGATAGAGAGTGTGTGCGAGTGAGAGCGCGGAGGCAGTGCATTCTATTGGTTTTATTCATTGAAATAACGTTACAGAATGATCATTTTAATTGCCTTTAATAATATTAATGTTTATATTATTTTTGAAAGAATTTAAGTCAACATCAATTACTTAATTCAACCTTAATATTATTGATATAATTGATTTAACGGTTTCTACACTTTCAACCTTGACCAAACAAACCACAAACATTACATCTTAAATGATTATAATATATAACGGCAACATATTACCCAACATTTATTTATTTTACCAATTAAAGAGTTTAATTGCCATATTAAATCAGAACTATCAATGCTAGCGCAGGCGGCCGCTCGGTGCGGCGCTCGCGACGATGTACGGGGCAAAAATGTACCGTGACACACTATCGTACATCGGACCGTACATCGAACCGATCTTTTCTTTGATCTTTCGCCAAAAAACCGCCTCCAGAGCGCTCGTCTCCCTGCTCGGCCTGATGTCTTGTTCGGCGTCTTGATCGGTGTACGGACCCGTGACACACTATCGAACATCCTCCCTTCGACCTCCCTTCTCCCTTCTCCCTGCTCGGTTCGGGGTCTTGTTCGGGGAAAAGATCGATAGTGTGTCACCGTCTTTAACGATCGACCGGTGTTCATGTGTTTTTTGTGTTGTGAACTTTTTACGCACCTCTTCAGGGAAGTTTAGTTAATAGTTCTTGTACGGATCCGACGATGGCGCTCGCGCCGAAATGTACATAATCCACTAGGGCAATACTTTGGACCACAAGGCGACAATCAGGTATTTTAACCTTTTATTTATTTGAAGAAAGATTGGTAAAGAGGGTTAATTTAAAATTTGAAAGGGCAAAGATGGCTAAATAATAAGAGTGAGTATGAGTTACTGAAATCAGAAGTAAAGGTCTTGCTTATTCAGGATAATAATTCTATAACATAAAAAATGTTTTGTAATATTCCCAACTGACCTGAAAAACAATAAATAGATTTTCTCGTAAACATTTTGTAACGAATCGTTTTTGTAGATTTCTTGGAATCATTTTGTTAAAAGTTTTTCTATATCAGTATATCTATTTCGAATAACCATAATGTAACTGCATTTATTTGTGACGGTAATTCTGTAAAGGTCATTAAACTCACCTTTGTAATAACCAATTTATATTCAATTTCAACGAGTAGGCACGAAGCAAGACCTGCAACGAGATCATACTTCCTTGTTCGGAACATGTGAATCCAGAGTACCAATGAGTACAAGTGAAATGTTATGATTTTTTGTAATATACGAGGTTGTATGAAGTCAAATCTAGACTTTTTACAGGTCAGTCAATAATTTGTCACAACTCATTTGGAGAAATAAATTTTTACATAGAGATTGGCTCGGCCTTTATTAAAACACATATTCCCTCAATTTTTGTTCTATTTTTCCCAAAGATCGCCGCGTTTTCAAACGTTTGTCTTTTTGAATAGCATATACAGGGATTTTTTAACGCAACCCAAGTAGATAGATTTGCCCGAAGAAGAAAGTTCCGGAAAAGACTTGCCCGAGGAAGAAAGTAAAAGTCCAATACGCGGCTAAAGCTCGATCTGTTGGGATAGGTCGGCGGCGACCTTGTGCGGTCGAGCTGCAGTGAATTGCGCATGACTCGGCGAAAAATGCGGTCATTGTATGTCTGCGTCTGTGCCTTATGTAACGCAAAACCTGCTTGTGTATGACGTTGGAGTATTACGACGATTATTCGACGACATAGGATTTTTCGACGATATAATAGTTAATGCTTGTCATTAATATAATGTATTGTTGGTTATTATTTTAAGGTGAAAATATTAATTTTGTGTACGACGTTGGAGTATTACGACGATTATTCGACGTCATAGGATTTTTCGACGATATAAAAGTTAATGCTTGTCATTAATATAATGTATTGTTGGTTAGTATTTAGAGGTAAAAATAACAATTCAATGTTTTCAGGAAAAAGAAGGTTTATTCGTTCTTCCAAATCTTTACATCATATGAGGAGCCTGACTTCCGTAGGCACCTCAGACGATAAGTATGGGGACGCGTTAAATCTGCCAACTCCTCATTTGTTAGCCCTATGGCAAACCGTTTCGGTAAGAACGTCATTACTGCTCCCCCATCCTTTAGAAGTTCTACGGCAACCGCCTCTCCAAATTTCGTGTTGATTCGTCTTGCGGCCGTGATCGGATACCCCTCCTCGGAGGTAAGAGTCCCGAGATTCACTCTAGGGACGTGGGGAGCTGACATGAGAGTGTTAAGCTTGTTTGAGAGGTCCATTCTGAAATCGTAAAAATGTTGTTAGAAGATAAAAAACTGCAAAATATGTGTTAAAAGTACAAAAGCAAAGTAATATGAGGACCCAATGGAATATTACAAATTGTAAACTGTCTATTTGTAACTGGAATATATACCTGTCAATAATACACATAGGATATGTACAATGTCGTTTTTGAAATATATCAAACGTGTACTAAATATCATACCAGTAACCCAGCGATGTAATACAAAGCTAGTATTGTTCGATTGCAAACCAGTGGTGGACGAATGTCTACTGGGTTTGTAATATCTCCTTTTGACGAACCTCAAAGAACCTTACAGTCTAAACCCAAGTGTTTTGCTGATTTTATGCTATTGCACAAGTAGCCCATTGACACATTATGATGCCAATCTAGACTACGTAAACTGAATTCATAGTTTCTACTCTAACGTATGCTGTGGAATAAGGTTCAGTCAATATGTGTTGTAAGCCCAAGACCTGGGCTACTGCTATTCTAGTGTATGGTCATACTATTATGTCATAATGTCTAACCAATATTTTAAGTAGTTTAATCTATACAAATTTAAGCAACATCCTATGCTATGTCTACTTCATGGGTACACTACTGTGTTGTCTAATTCATAGTCTAAGTAATCTTATGCAATATCTTATGTTATTTTTACATCATTGTATGAGTACACTATTGCGTAATAATGTTAAGCTTAGTTGCGATAGACTATGCTATCTATTGTATGAGTATATCGCCGTGGTCTAAGTAATCTAAAACTTATGCTAATTTTATTCTATTGTTTGACTATACTACTGCGTAATAATGCTTAATCTATATAGTTGCGAACACCTATGGTACCTTTGCTCTACTGTACAGTGCTATGTTAAATCTAATCCATAGTCTAAGTAGTCGTAAGCGATAACCTATAATACCTTTGCTCTATTGTATATTGCTATGTGAAGTCATTTCATAGTCTAAGTAGTTGTAAGCGATAACCTGCGATACCTTTTTGCTCTATTGTACGTTGCTATAGTCATTCTATAGTCTAGTCGCAAGTGATAACCTATGATACTTTTGCTCTAATGTTAAGTCTAATCTATAGCCTAAGTGATAACCTATTCTATAGTGAGTGCACTACTGTATAACAATGTAAATAGCTAATACCATAGTCTAGCTTATTGTATACTTCTTCCAAGTACTACTATGTCTGTACTGTGAATACCACAGTCTAAGTCAAAAATATAACGATATTCTACTCCTGTTGTGCTAGTAAAATCTACAGATAGCCTACAGTGCCGACAATATCAAGTGCAAAAATATCAAGACTCTGGAGTGAAATGTTACTATCTCTCAAAGTAAAAAAAGAGAAATGTTTTAAAAGCTAAGTTTAATTTGAAAACAATGATGTTTAGTGAAAGGGTACTTACTTCACTGACATGGAGTTCGAGTGCAAGTGATGCAGGTCTCTAGACGAGCCGGGTTTATATACATGCAGTCGACCGCCTTTCACTAACTACGCCCAAGTCCTTTAAATAGCCAGCCTGTGTACAGAGTCGACACACACACTCATCACCTGCAGAGGTACACACACCATGCGGTACTACCAGTGCGGTAGCTGTAGGGAGGCTTATTTTTTATCTGCTGACTCCAGAGATAGACACAAGCGGATTTGTGCTGCCATTAAGAACTTTTTCTTTCTGGAAACTCCTCCTGACTGCGATAAAGTAACTCCAGCTCCGATTGACTTGAGTATACGGACCTCTATTGGCGCTGCTGCTGTCACCAGACCCATCCCTGATGCTGCTTCAAACCCTCGGACTGTGGCTACTTCGAGTCAACAGACTGCTGCTGCTTCGAGTCAACAGACTGCTGCTGCTTCGAGCCAACAGACTGCTGTTGCTTTGAGTCAACAGACTGCTGCTGCTTCGAGTCAACCGACTGCTGCTGCTTCGAGCCAACAGACTGCCATT